AAATAAGACACCCAAAAAGAAAAGGTTTTGTGATGAAAAAAAGAGTATTAGCATTTGAGACTATACGCATTTTTCTTCCCCTCTTCACAAGATTGAAATGGGTTTCATAAGAGTACATTTAACTTACACCTTTACATGAAAACTACAGGGGCATTACAGGGTTCATAATAGACTTAGTAAGCATTATAATGACTTTTTTTGTTTCTTATATTATATAGCAGCACATTTACGCAACAGTCCATACGCTGGGGAGCTTGCTTGGAGACTGCTCGTCGCCTCTCCGTTTGCCGAGGTTAGACACACAGCTCCTACACCTCAGGAGCACCCCCCGTCCCTGGGATGAAATCCCGTTCCCTTCTGCTTGCTCTCCTGCCAGCCTTACGACTCTGGCGGACAGCTTCCACCCTTTTCCAGAGCACGTCACAGCCAGCTGGCGAGGATGCTCCCGCTGCCTCCACCAACAAAAAGACACCAGCGGTACCATCACCGACAACAGAACTTTGCTCTTTTATGTCTCAGTGTTCTGCAACAGAGACTCGGGGACCCAAGTGGAAAGCAATGTCTACTGCAAGTCAGGGCCTTGAGCTCCAGAGAGGGCACAAATTCAGACACACCGAATACGCTTGGTGCACCAAACAGTCCCTTGCTCACTCCTGAGACTCTGCAGAAGTTCATCGAGCTCTCTCCTCTGGCTTTCAGACAGACTGCCCTAGGAGGCTCGGATCTTTCCCCTGGCATTTGTAACTTAGGTTAGACTGATTTATTTGTACCTGTATCTTACAACTCAGATGGGTGAGTATGTTTTAGAAGTTTTCAATAGTTAAAACTTTTAATTTACTTTTCATCAAAATACTCTCCCTTTTTGTTAATTTACAAAAGATACCAATATTATAGTCACCTGTACGTAAGGAATACAAATGGATAGAAAATGGCAGAATTTGCCCATATCCAACCAATATACCTTCTCCATTTCTGTAATTCCAGAGATCCACATTACAGAACATACGCCTGGCAATCACTTACCTTAACTACATCTATTCTGTGGCCCACAAATTCTAATGATAAAATGTATTTGGCATACCTTAACTTGTTGGTTAACAGCAATTCTATTTATACTGTGTGTTCTCACAGACTGCCATAAAATTGCAGAGAATTCAGAAAACAAAATCAAAATTATTTCTTTGATATATGAAACTAGAAGAAAAATGTACTTCACTAAAAGGTGTTATGCAGAAGTAATCAGTAGACACTGTGTAAAGCATTGACCAAAAATTGCTTCATGAAAGTTTCTACTATGGGTGCTAAAATTTTAAAATTAAATACCTAGAGTAACTTCTGTTCCAAAAGGTCACTAGTCCTTTACCAGCTTCGCTGGTATTATACAGTTATCAAGACAACATAATCATCATGAAGACACTGATTTTTAGAGACAAGGATGTTTGGGACACATCAGAAGATAGGAAAAGACATCAGTATCAGAAACTGCTAATTATAAAAAGGGCTATGTTTACAAAATAAGGACAGGGTGACCTGGAGGTAACAGATGTAAGCGAAAAAAAGTGGAAATGGAAAAGCAAAGAAACGTACGAGAAACTGTGTTTATGTGAATAATCAATATTCTGTACACTATTAAAAGAATGCATTAAAAACTTTGCACAAAGGAACACTTGAGACTGGGTAAGCAGCAGTTTGCCAGCAGGCTGAATTGCAGCAAGGAGATATCACCTTGAAGTGCCAAAGACAGCAGATCCCAGAAAAGAGCATTTACACAGTTCCGAGCCTTCCTGGCTAGTCCGCGGTGGCATTCACAGCCAGGCGCAGAAATGGCTGCCTACAGGGAGAGCCATCAAGGCTACCCACTTCTTTATCACAGAACCCCCTTGACAGCAGGGGCAAGACACCAGCACTGCTGCTGACGGTGAAGCTGTGGCCTCAGTGCTGGAACACAGATGGGAATTTGGGAAGAATTGCTTAGGCTTACGTGAGACCGAACAGAGAGCTACTCAAACTATCGTTATATTCTGAGCTCAGGTAACACCGGGAACTTTGAACAATGATTTACCAGTTTTGTTGGCTGAAGAATAACTCAAGAGCATGTGATAAGCTGAAGTTAAGACTATATTCTATATTTGTTTTACTAATTACCTGTTTCTGATATCCTCACCTTAAGATCTTACCAAGGCAGGTTCTTTACTGCTTTACTTATAAGCCTGTCTAACACTGTGAGGTGAATCATGATTCATACAAATCAAAGGTGTGTAGTATGAATAAAATTTCTGAGGAACCTATATTCGAAGACATTTTTAAACTCTATGGGAATGGAGTATTTTCTCCAAGTCTGCTGGGGACCAGCGGAGGAAGAACACAGGGATGGATGTTTTAGACAATAGCAAATGCCTGTCTAGTCCAGAAGCATCTCTCAAAAGGAGATGACTAAGCAGTGTGAATGTAGGACAAGCATTTATGGTACTTCACGTAGTACTTTCTCAGCTTCCACCATCTTGTATTTTAGGAATGCTGTGAGCCAGAGGTGATCCATGTGTTTTACTAAACAAGCAACAGATTATTTTTATGACATTTTTGAGCCCCCATGGAACGAATTTAAACTTTTGGTATCCAAACAATTTGGGGTTGGAAGTTCCAGAGCTTCACATCACACATGAAGAATCACTTTGGTTAGTTAGTTCTGAACTGGTCACCAGGTAACTTGACCTTAAGGTAAGCTGACCTTAATGTTTTATTAACACTTTTTTTAAAAAATGTTCTCTTGACTGTAAGCTTGTTCACTGTGAGAGTGGTATTCACAGATGCTGAATTTAGGAAAAAATCCCTTTTAGCAGATAGATGTTGATCTAGCAAGGTGGCAATGACTTAAACATGGCTCTTTCCAGCTATCTTAATTCTGGACAAAGTTCCATGGTGTCACAGTTAGTAGACTGCAACTCACACAACTCTGGGAAGATGTACCACAGTTCCTCCTGTCTCACGCTATACATAAGGAAGAAAAGCGTACACTCCCTCAGTCCACTGTATGAACAAGCAGAGGAGAAAGCAGCCTGGATCAGCCTCTACATCTCCCTTACACCTGGGAGCAAAGATCTGCACCTCAGTTGCCTATTAAGCATACAGGAAATAGCAAGGAGAAGGAAGGGAGCATACATTTTCTGTCAACCATCAGTGAAAGAAGAAAGAAATATAAGCTTTTGAGGCAGGGGGAGACAGAGGAAGAATCTTTCCCTGTCACCCGCATGCAAGTACTGAATAAGTTGAACAGTTTCCTATGGTAGGCCTTGCAAATAGTATCCATTTCAGTGCTGGCATGCAAAACTTTTATTCCTAAAAAAGTAACGCTTTAATAAAATGTATTAATTTTGAACTTTTACTTCTCATTTCTTTCTGTTTTTTAGTTTTTAAATGCGAATATCAAAATTTACTTAAGTTTGATATAGGCACAAATTTACATAGCACAGATGTCACACAAATATGTTGAAAATATGTTTTATTTGCCTCACTATATAATCAAAACTTAGGGTATATTTAGAAAGTGTTTAATGCCTTGTTAAGCTATGTACCTGGTTACACATGAGCTTTCTCTACTATTGATCTGAAATCACTGCAGAAAAGCCTACTCAACAGAATTTATGGGCTACTTCAGGCTGGAATTTAGAAAAAAGCATGTATTGCATATTCATTAATCAATGAGAGTCCTTCTTTTTACAGTCTTGTTTTGTGCCAGATATTGAAATTGGGTCCATTAAGAGGGTATCTTCTACTTCATAAGGAACCCTGCTGAAACTACTTAAGTTCAACCTACGGATTTTATTCATAACCTACCATCCCACAATTTCTAAAAAGCCACAGTTGTCATCTGAACCATGTTGCATTTGTGGAATTCCACATGTTACTGCAAGTTTCTCTCTAAGTAAAACAGTCACAGACGTATTTATTTCAAGAGATCTAAAAACTAAATCTCATTTGAGTCTCCAAGTCAGTCTTTGGACAGGCATTTTTCAATCTGAAGTGAATCCTATACTCACTAAAGAGTGAGTGTAAGGTAATACATTCTGTAGTAATGCAAACAGAAAGTATCATAGAAAGCAGTCCTGCTAGAATTCCTATTAGAATGCCATGAATTTCATGAAAAACCTCTTTTGCAAGATTGTGAGGAGTTAACTTCTTTTGATCTATATGGCTGCATGTCAGTCAGTGACTTGGCAGATAATTGAACAGATGAGTACAGATACTATTGCAGAAAAATATTTTAAAGATTGGTTTGGCAAAAGCAAGCTACATGCTGTTGATTTCCGCTGGTGACTGTGGTGTAAATGCATTCACAGTATACGGTACTCACAGTACCTGTTGTTAAAGACTAAAACTGGCAATAGGGGTTTGAACTGCAAAGAAAACAACATAGGCAATTGTAGATATACATCAGTTCTAAATCTCTCTATAATAAAACCTGCTAAGGGAGCAGTAATAACTTCAAACTACACTGTTTTTCTAGACGTTATGTAACTTGAAATTTTTCTACAACAAGAAGTTCTCTTGACTCTCAAATTAATTAGTTTGATTGCTACTTTTATTTTTATTCTTTCCTAAGCCTGCTGCTAGTAGTGAATTGCTTGTGAAGAGCACAGAAGGCAATAAAAAGGCTGAACTGAACTAATGTGTTGGAAGGAGGAAAAACCTTTGCAATTTATTAATGTATTCAAAAGACTGTTACAAAACTTTACAATTTAATTATTGGAAGATTACAGAACTGCTTCAGTGCTTCTGTATTGCGTTAAATAAACTGTACGTGCAAGGAGTAATAAATGAAGTTGTTAATTTCAGTGCATCCTTAGGGAATAGTAAGAGAGGGGGTTTACATTATTTAGAGCTCCACATGGATTTGAGTTTATATACAGTAATAAATCTTAACTACATTGCTAATTAACCCTGCCTCAAGCCCCTTTTTACCTCAGGAGTTGAAAGACACAGCGTCTGTTAGGATAACTCACCATTCATATTCTTAAAGATGTTTAGGACTGGGAGGATATGCCGATAATAGGGCACCAAGGCCTCCCCCACCATGTCAGCGGACACCACCAGGTGCTGGAGGACTTTCAGCGTGACGCACATGACCTGCCGGTTACGAAGGTTCAGCGCATCTGTGGTGTAGGAAGAACAACAGGCAGAAAGCAGAATTAATTTCTGAAATGCAGAGGGAGGGGGAGGAGTCCTCTAATGGACAAATTTAATTAAACTGTACTCTGCTGGGGATTGTAAGTGGGCCTTTATTAGCCCAGCTTTGAAAGATCCCAAAGATGGATTGCAGTCCTGATGTTATAAAACACTGCCTTGTCTGATTGTTTTTTGTTCCCACAATTTGTGCTGACTCTTCAGTAACCCAAAGAATGCAGCTCATTATTCCCTCATGCTGCCTGTGTAACACTGGCATGGTCCAAACAAATAAAAACTAAATGTTCAGTAAGTACCATTTGGGGCCAATGGAACCGTACAACTGCAAGGCAACCTGCAAAGGTTGACAACAGATACATTCTAGTGCAACAATTAGTGTTTGTATGTTTGTACTCATTTATTTAACGATCATTTTATTCATTCAACTAACAATTCCTACTATTCTGAGAATCAGTACAATGAAGCAAATGTTTCTAGGAAAAAAACCCCACAAAAACCCCTTGTAGTCTTTTTTTAAAAGACAAACATTCTAGGAAAAAAAAAGATTTTGTCTTGCCTACTTAGGTTTTTCTCTTAGCTTTCAGTGTCATGCCTCTAATCTTACGACACTGACATTTCATAAATATCTTTTGTTTCTCTTCTCTTTTAATTTTACTAAAATCAAGTTCTTTGCATTCTCTTTTGTAATTAAAAATTGCTCATGCTTGAAATATTTTTTTCCCCTTGCAAAATCCCTGTAGTTATAAAACCTCCTCTGAAATTATGCAGCTGGAAGCAGTTGTCAAATTTGGTCCGCTATTATGTATTGGCCTAATTCTCCCGTGTTCTGCACATTTACATAGAAGTTTACATCATTGCACCAGGAAAGCCAGAACTGTAAAAGATGAACTCATATTCAATGCTGAATGTTATAACCACAGGAGTATACAAATATGTGATTCAGCATAACATAACGTAAGTATAAGCACTTGGAAAAAAATATAGTAAAGAACACACCGAAATTTGAAGAGGAGTTACTAACAACTTCTTGAAGAATTGCCTCTTCCCACGGAAGTGACAGGATTCGGTATTTCTGGCACCCAGTTGCGGGTGCAAGGAATGCCATTCCGTAGGGAATGAAGCAGTATTCTCACACAGGAGTGGTGTCAGTTTTTCCATCTCTTTTAGCAAATGTACTGCACCCCACCCGCTGCTGCTTCTTATCGCCTGCCTGCCGAGCGTTAAAAACCCGAGCTCCAGCGCCGAAGGAAGGGCAAGGCGAACTGGCTGTGTGAGTGTGCAGAGACAACTCTGGAAAATCAGCTGGTAAGCACCTTCCCCTCACGCCTCTGCCGGCTTCCGAGCAGCAGCAGCCCACTACAGCTGCTGCTGAGCAACAGGGCCAGAGGGCGCGAGGGGCAAAGGTGCTGCCGCGCATCACAGGGCGGTTCCAAGCTAAAGGAGCGCTGCTCAATGAAAACACAGACTGAACGCCATACTTCTTTGCCAGTCCCTACTGCAGTCACCAGGCTACACCTAATTTCACGTTGTCCCAGAGCACATCAGTGTGTGGGCAGGAGGTCCATCGCTGCAGCATGCTCACACTAAGCTCCAGCAAAGAGGCTGGCTATTCCGAATTGTGCTTTCACGGGTAGATGTTCTAAGGCTGCTTCAGCAAAGACAGATCCCCAGATACAACTTTAAAGGTTAGGTCCAAATACCAGGCATTAAAATATTCTCTTACAGAGGAACAGGCATTATTCATTTACTTAGAGGAGTAACTGGAAGAGGAAGCTCTGGGGTTCCAACATGTGAGTTTAGTCATGACTCAATTGTCATACACAGAAACAGCAGCTAACCGAACTAAAAGGGAAACTACAGTTAATACTTCTGATTTTCAGTACAATAATTGTTACTTATTCATACAAAAGTAAATAAATATCTGTATTCATTTCTATGAAAGAATTCATATAAACATGAATAAAATGAATAAAATTAATGATTCATACAAACACTAATAATTAACTTAAGGGAAGTAAAAATTAATGACAGAAATCACACTTCTTAATCAAAAAATTGTAGCCACTCGCAGGAATTGTTCTTCCCAACTGTAGAAGCTGTCCTAGAGGATGAGAGACCTTATTTTTAGGCGTGCAGAGGGTGTCATGTAAGTGGAAATGGCTGTCCAACCACCCCTAGGAAGAACTTTTTTCTGCAGATGGTGGCTCCCAAAGAGTTTCAGAGTTTCCTGTTCTGAGAGTTCTGCCTTGTAAAAAAACAGCCCTGTTCTGAGTGGAAGCCAAGACTGTCCTGGTAAAGATTAATTCCTTATTAAAGTCAAGAGTGTGAACTATGCCTCATGCCTGAGAAGGTGTTCCGACGCATGCAGCAAACTGAGCACACACTGAATCCAGAAGAACGTGTCCAAAGACCAGCCCACCACAGAACCTGCCATGCCAGCCTTCTGCATCTGAGCTGTGCTGTCGGGGTGCTTGCTGGAACTTTAAACCATAGTGCTGCCACTTGTTTCACCCGCGTGCTAGGAAATCAGCTGGAGACTTGTCCCACCTCCCTCAAGCCAGGGGCATCCCGTCCTCCACTGACACACAAAACAAAAGACAGGATTTGGATCACGATTTTGAGTGCTAAAGTGATGGATGTGGTGGAAGCAAACAGACTGCAGAATTTCAGCCTGAAGCCCTTCAAATTGCAGAAATCTGCAGTGTGTGTTAGGAAAACACTTGTAAATATCAAAAGTAAGATCAAATTGACTGCAGAACTGTTGTTATTATTATTAAATATTTGGACTGTGGCATGCATAGCAGTCAACCAGCTCCTGGCTTGATTACATTAGGCACTGTATAAACATTTAATTAGAGACAGTCCCTGCCCCAAGGATACATAAATTTCAAACATATGCTTATATTTTAAAAATCTGGTAATTATTGTCTGTGTACCGCCATCACTGCAGACCATTCTCCCACACGAATCAAAGGAAGAAAAATTTAATTCAGTATGTGAAATAAATACATTTCAACATTTTGGAAAATGTCAGTGATACACGGAGGTTTGCAGAAACGGAAGAAAGTACTAGTATTCTTACACAGGAATAAAGCAGACCATTAAAAACTCTTTGTACAGTACAGCTACTTGTCCCTAAAGAAGGAAACATGCTTAACATCCGAAGTATTCCAATCTGAGAGCATGCTAGGCTGTTGCTTCTTGACCTAGAGGTTTGCAGTAAGATGTGGATTTTCACAATAAAAACAAAGTGAATGACCAGCTTGCTTCTCAGTTCAAGATACCTTTCCACTCCCTAAAGGGACTTCCCTTCCTCAATGCTAGTATTTCCCTTTTGGTCATCTAGTCTACATGCCATGCACTGTACAACTCGCTTAAGCAGCAACTTTGAAAAAAAAGCCAACCCAGTAAATCGACTCTGTTGCTTGGTAGTTCCGATATTTTCTCTTTAATGGTATATAAAGTTGACAATTGTGCTTCTGATGAGGATACACACTTTTCCAGGAGATCCTCCAGCTCAAATAATTGCTCAATGCAAATATATAGTGAAGTATTTACTTCAAACACATTTTGTACTGCTACGGTTTTCCCAAACAAGTATTTTCTGAAGTTCATCATAACTTTCTTAAATAAAAGAGATTTTTAAAATATTAGTAGGTTAAATATCTGGTGTAAAAGCTCATTATGTGAGTCAGCTCTGTGTTTCTACCACTCAAAGCCACAGAAATAGGTAATTATGAAATTTGAAAGCATATTTGAAACCCTGAACATTTTTAGGTTGGAGGTTTTTCACAGTGCTGTTTATTAAAGCTTGTGAGCAGTGAGCTGATACACAATATCAATTCATTGACAGATTCAGTGAATTTTTTTTCATTAAATTTTATTGGCAATTGATGTAAATTTAGAATTTTCTTTTATTTCCCTTAAGAGTAGCAACTTTTCTTAAGATACATGCCACTTGTCTGCTTATCCATTTAGACAGAAGCAGCTTACAAATGAAGCAACAGAAACAATTACTTTAAAACATTCAAGTCTTTTCTTCGAGTAACACTTCAAACAGCTCAAAGAAAAAGACCTAGAAGCTACGTAAGTTGATATTTTTTTTATGTTTTATTTTTATGTGGCAGTTTGGAAAATCCTCTCTCAGTCTTAAATCTTGCCTATAATAGAAGCCACAGTTCTCATCCTTGGGACTGATACATTTTATAAGCCAGGAAACATGACAGCATTTCTTCCAGTATACAGTAGATCTGCTCCGTGACACAACATGTTTTCACAAAAGAGATCAAATCAGAATGTTCTTCCCTAGACAGCACATTGATAGCCTAAACTTTACAGAATCAAATCACATCCCCCAAACTTCTATCTCTTCTCTAAATATTAAAGCTTAGATTTTGGTAGTTCTATTTAAAGTTATGTTAATAATTTAATTCTCTTTAATTTGCACTGGCCTTTAATTGTATTCAACCCCCTTTTCAAATACACCTGTCAATCTAGGATTAGAAATGCACTGACAGTTTCCATTTCCGTTTAGGTCTCACAACCAAAGATTAAAACCAATTCCGTCTGCATTCCTATCTCCCCCCCTCCCCGCCCGCACTAGGCAAACGAGGCACCTGTTTTAGAAATTCTGTGCCTGAAGCAGAAGCAGATCCTTCGAGCAGGTCTCCTGCAGGGCAACAAGCATTCAGGATAAAGATGCCTGGACGGGTGCGTTCTACTTCATCTTGCTGATCAAGAGCTGCTTTTGTTAAATTCACGGAATCCCGTTTAAAGAACTGCTAACCTGAAGTGCTCTCAAAACGCAAGTGATTAACTGACGCATACTTCTCTCACAGAGAGTTTTGTCCCAGACTTTGAAAATGCACAATACCTAACGACCTGAACTGACAGAACAGAAGTGTTATGCTAATTTTACCGACCAGTAATGAAGGCTGTTACAAAACACAGTGTCTCAATCAGCAGGGAA